AACGGACAGTCGGAGCCCGACGATTGCGTGGCAGACATGGTCATGTCGGGCCTAATAGGGCTTTACATTGATAAGACTTTAATATTCCCCGCGTTTGAACCATCGGTCCTAGTATTAAGCCACCGGGACCCTCGTCAAGCTTACTGCGGCTGTAGAGGACGGGTGCGCAAAGGCAAGGGGCAGTGTTGATATTGTTCGCGTGACTGCGCCCAAGCATCTGAGGTTAATGGGACATGACGGCGCCACCGGTGAGGACTGGGTTGCGTCACAGAGGAGAGAGGCCACTCGGGGCGATGGCGGGACATTTGTTTGTTGGAAATGTACCGGCAGCCATAGGGCGGTTCCAGAAACAGGGATGCAAGATTACCCCCGTCAGTTCCTGCATGGTGGAGCTGATCACTAGTCCGCCGCCGACTTAGCCCATGTATAATGACCTCGCCCGACTTTGGTACTTGGCCCGCCCGTTGAGCACGACGCCTCCTTGACGGCCAATTCCCTACTCCATTCACTCACGCTCACTTGCCACCTGTTGCTTTTCTTCTTCTTCTTCCACCAGGCATGGCAGCAAACGGCAGCATGCGCAGACGAACCGTCGACGCGCCCGGTAAGGCAATTGTTCCGATGTTGTCCAAGTCCTGCATGGCTAACCCGTACGCAGCGAGCCTTCACCCGCGCACATCGTCGCATTCCACCCAAACACCCGAACCCTCGCCTATAGATTCCATGCCCGCGCAATTGGCCTCTGACATGCCTTTCGTTTCCACATCGAAGCCGAACGGCGCGCCTGCGCTGCTCCGCAAGCAGTCGTCACCCATGATGCCTCCTTTCATGGTCTCTGCACCCGGCAAGGTCATCGTCTACGGAGAACACGCGGTAGTGCACGGCAAGGTAGGATCAATAGGACAACCAGGTCGGGACATGTGCTGACCGTCTGCAGGCTGCCATCGCCGCCGCCATATCGCTCCGCTCCTACCTCCACGTCTCGTTCCTCTCCAAATCGAATCGGACCGTTAAACTGCGCTTCCCCGACATACAGATGGAACACACGTGGAATATCGATGACCTGCCATGGGACAGCTTCTCCAAGTCAGGCAAGAAGAAGTACTACTACGACCTCGTCACCTCGCTCGACCCCGACCTCATGGCCGCCATCCAGCCCTTCATCGACGAAGTATCACCGAAAGCCCCCGAGTCGATACGCAAAATCCACCACGCCTCTGCGTGTTCCTTCCTATACCTCTTCCTTTCCCTCGCGTCGCGCAAAGTCCCTCCGTGCGTTTACACACTACGATCGACCATTCCCATTGGTGCTGGATTGGGCAGTAGCGCCAGTATATCCGTCTGCCTCAGCACGGCAATGCTGCTGCAGATACGCGCACTCAGCGGACCCCACCAAGACCAGCCGCCGCAAGAATGTGAGCTCAACATCGAGCGAATCAACCGTTGGGCGTTCGTTGGGGAGATGTGCATCCACGGAAACCCCTCAGGTGTCGACAATACCGTTTCCTCGGGCGGCAAAGCGGTTCTCTTCCAGCGGAGGGATTACGACAAGCCACCTCTAGTCATACCATTGCATAGCTTCCCCGAGCTCCCACTGCTGCTCGTCAACACACGGCAATCGCGCAGCACGGCAACAGAAGTCGCCAAGGTCGCCAACCTTCTCAAGGTGCATCCCGCCCTCACAGAAAACATCCTCAATGCTATTGGCCTAGTGACGGAATCTGCACACAAACTACTCACATCTCCCGATTTCGATGCAACATCTCCAGACTCACTAAGACATCTCGGTGAGCTCGTCACGATGAACCACGGGCTACTCGTCTCATTGGGCGTCTCACATCCCAAACTTGAGCGTATCCGCGAGATAATCGATCACACGGGCATCGGATGGACAAAACTTACAGGTGCAGGAGGCGGAGGATGCGCTATTACTATCCTTAAGCCCCAACCACCAGCCCTCACCAACGGTCATGCGAATGGCGCGCACCACGATACCTCATCAGACGAATCTGACGCCTCTTCCGAAGCGGACGGGGGCGGCGCCGCATCCGTAATATCCAACGGCACAAAGCTAAAGTACAAGATTCTCGACTCTCTTGAGGTCAAATTAGAGAAGGAAGGCTTCGAGAAGTTCGAGACGACGCTTGCTGGTGACGGAGTAGGTGTGCTTTGGCCTGCTGTCCTACACAACGGGAATGAAGAGGAAGGCGGAGAGGAGATTGATCAAGAGAAGTTCCTTCGGGCCGAGGGCACAGTCGGTATCGAAAGACTGGTCGGCGTGTCCAGCTCGAAACGAAAGGGTCCCAGAGAGGTTAGAGAGGGTTGGAAATTCTGGAGACCCTGGGAGGTTCCCGAGTAGTAAACTCGGGTCTTTTGTTCCAAACAACTCGTCTGCTTCCAACATGTTCTGGCAATGTCCTGGTTGGGTTCGAGTTTCATCTTCTGTTCTTGTTTCTTTGTTGTTTAGCTAGATATAGGGATTTCATTGTACTTGAAGCCTTGACAGGCGTCAAGGAAAAGGCTAAAGAAGTAATGTCTTGTAGATATGAGATGGCTGATACAATCTGGCTGCAAGGCGCCTGCGGCCGAAGCATGGCCTAGCGTGAGCAGGACAGCAATAATGGAATCTCAGAGTTCCTCATGCATCAGTTCATTGTACTGCGAGTTCTAGTCTGCGATCCACCTACAATAAACACAGGGTCGTAGCGAATTGAGGTGTGCATGCAAAGAGTGAATGTGGCGTACCATGTGTGATTGGGCAGCTAATTTTTGGTAGATCAAGCGAGCCACGCGCGACACCTGCAGAAGCCCAACCATTGTCTTGCGCCATAGTCAACCTTTGATCGTTTCCTTCACCCACACCACTCGCCCATAAAACCCTGCGCCGCCGTCGGAACCCTTGGATACATTACTCCCAACAACACAAAGCCCATACCTTTTCACAAATAACTGCAACCATGGCACCAGGAAAGTGGGGTACGTCATGTTCGCTGCCACTGCGCGCGGTTCAAGATGGTCATGCAAAAACTTGGGACTGACATGTTCTGCAGACGACGAGGATGAGGGTAGCACTCCTCCCACATCCCCACAGGTGGCTCCTATCGCGCGCCGCAGCAAGTTCGACGATGAAGAAGAAGACGACGATGTGCGTCAGCCCACCATGCCCCGCGCTTGAATACTTCAAGCCCCGCCACGACCAAATGTACTGACATTGGACACAATAGGTACTAGATTCATGGGACGCCGCCGAGGATTCCGAAGTCGAACGCGAGAAGGCAAAGAAGGCCGCCGAGGCAAAGGCTAAGGCGGAGGCAGAGGCAAAGGCGAACCACAAGTCCAAGGCGCAAAGGATCGAGGAGCACAGGCAGGCCGCGCTACGTCGGCGGCAGATGGAAGAGGATGGCGAGACCGACGAAGAAGAGACTGAGGCTGAACGCCGCGAACGAATGCGCCAGGCAGAACTCGACGCTTCGCGCGCCCAAGCTGAGGAACTCTTTGGTGACCTGAGCGTCGCCCCCAAGGCCCGTACTGGCAAAGCCATCACTATTGCCGACGAGTCCGACCCGGGCAACGCCATCGACCTCTCCTCCCTCGCCATTTTCAACCCCAACACCAAGGACCAGTTTACCAAGCTCCGGGAAACTCTCACACCTCTGATTGCTGGCAACTCTAAGAAGGGCCAGTACTCGCTGTTCCTACAGGAGTTCACCAAGCAGATTGCTAAGGATCTGCCGAGTGAGCAGATCAAGAAGATTGCATCTGGTCTGACGACACTGAGCAACGAGAAGATGAAGGAGGAGAAGGCTGCTGAGAAGGGTGGAAAGAAGAGCAAGGCTGCAAAGACCAAGACCACACTCAATGCGAGCAGAGACGTCGGCGTCAGGGCAGATACCAGGGCATACGATGACGACGACTTTGGCGAGTAAGTTATGTTGGAGCCTGTCTGGCTTTCACAGATGCTAACAAATTATAGTGACGACTTCATGTGAGGCATGACGAGGCATCCCATGCATACGCCTTTCATATTGGAGTTCATTCCTCATCATTCAGTTTGGAGTCGCGGTTGGTCATTTCAAGGAGGATCAAAAGGGAAACATGCGTGCATGGCGTCTCGCGCTTGACGTGTCTGCTTCACGGTTGTGCTTCGAGATGAAGCGACATAGGTTTAATGCATATGTAGTGCATTATAGATAGACGCGCGTAGACAGTAGATGTCTGGTTCTTACAATCTGAGCATGGTATCTTCTCCTACCCAATGTTGAAACATTCTACACCAACAGCATAACATTAGTGTGGTGACACGTGTATCAGCTCTCTTCCACCAGCGGTGAATACAGGAACTGGAGGTACTACTGTCAGCCCACAGTCCAGACGCGATAGTGAGCCATCTTGAGATTGAGTTGGTGCCGGCCAATGCCGCTTCGTCAAGCTCCGACGCATCGCAACGCGGGGCAACTTGTGTTGATGGAACGTCATTCCGCCAAAAAAAAATTGAACGCGCCAGTCAGTCACGGCTACCAAATTTCCTGCACCAATTGGGATGATGTGAGCCAGAGAATTCCTAAGCCCGATACCATCGATATGCGCGCTCAGTTACTATGCTTTTGAGGGCTCACAGCCATTGGCGCATTACACGTGTAGCTCTTACCCCTCATTGAGTCACTCATTCGAGACGCGCCTCAATCTTGTACACTACAAAACGACACACACATCCACCCACTTGAGCCCACATATCTGGTCTGACGCCGCCCGCGCACTTAGCCCTCACCACGGCAGCAAGCCCGCATCCAATTGCAAGTGCCGACGTGGGACTCGTGGCCTAGCCCGTAGCAGAATTCCCCATTCAAGTCTTTGTTAGAGGGTGCACAGCGCGCGTCTGCATACTACAAACCCTAGCAATTGCGTGCTTGATTCATAGCCATGGATCTCGTCAACTCGTATGTTCCGATTGTTTCTTTTCCCCATTCTTTTTCCTTCTTCTGATAGCTTCTTGTATGACCATGGGGTACACCAACGGAAATGATGGCGCAAGTGAGATCGAGCGCATCGCGCAAAGAGCGCGTCAGGGCAGCAGGAGTCTTCCGTTCATGACTGACCTTTTGGGAAACAGCTTGAACGACCGTCTCCTCTTTGCGGTGCCTAAGAGTACGTCGCCTACATTACTACTGGCTGGACTCATAGGCTAATAACCATCGCAGAGGGCCGCCTCCACCAAGCATGTCTTGACCTTCTCCACGGTTCGGACATCCAGTTCCACCGACACTCCCGTCTCGATATCGCACTCGTCAAGAACCACCCTCTCGCTCTCGTCTTCCTACCCGCCGCCGATATCCCGACTTTCGTAGGAGAAGGTCGCGTAGACTTGGGCATAACCGGGCGCGATCAAGTCGCAGAACATGAGTGCGTTGCACCACCGACTGCCACCAGCGGCGTAGAGGAGGTCCTCGATCTAGGTTTTGGAAAATGCAGTCTGCAGGTACAAGTCCCCGCGAAGGGCGACCTAGCCAAGCCAGAGGACTTGATCGGCAAGAACGTTGTCACCAGCTTCACCAACCTGGCTGAGCAGTACTTCCGGAAACTCGAGGCCGAGCAAGCTGGAAACACAAACGGCGAAGCCAATGGCGATGCGAAACTCAAGACAGTCATCAAGTACGTTGGCGGCAGTGTTGAAGCGGCATGCGCATTGGGTGTCGCGGACGGTATTGTCGATTTGGTGGAGTCAGGAGAGACAATGCGCGCTGCAGGCCTCAAGGCCATCTCCACAGTCGTCGACTCCAGCGCCATCCTCATCAAGTCAAAGCACCCATCAGATCCCAAATTGGTTGAGCTGATCACCGCTCGGATAAAGGGTGTCATCAGTAAGTCGCATCGACTTCCGCATTCATTAGCAGAACTAATTTCTCGCAGCTGCACAAAAGTACGTTCTGTGCACATACAACATCGACCGATCGAAACTCGATATCGCGCGCAAGATCACCCCCGGACGTCGCGCCCCCACCGTCAACGCGTTGGAAGAGGATGGCTGGGTGGCTGTACAGGCTATGGTGCTAAGGAAAGACATCGCTATTGCCATGGACAAATTGACGGAGGTCGGGGCTACCGATCTCATCGTAACAAAGATCGAGAACTCGAGAACGGGTGATTGAGCGACGCATGGCGCATGGGATCTGGGTGGATACACTGGTCTACATTTCCTGCGCAACAGATGCGTTTGTTAGAATGGAACTATGTAGAGAGCTTTTAGTATACTAGCTGGATAGCCCGCTCCTTGTATTTGTAGCTGAATGCTATGGAAGTACAAGCGCCGTATCTCTCGTGTCTAACAAGCTTCGCGTGGTGGAATATCCTTATGAGGTCTGCCATGAAGTCTCGCATGCTTACCGCACGTTTGCGGATCATGGACCTCTGTTACCAAACTGGCCAAATTGTGGGTCGCGGTCTAGACGACGTAGCAAGTAGTTCGGCGCTAAGTCTCGCAGGACCCTACTCACAAGATCATAACTGCAGCTTAAGACTGTCCGTATCGTGAACACTGTTGGAAGCGTGGCTGCTCAAGCTGTTTTGTAGCAGCGATGAAACGAGTCTATAAATTTTATGATTTGGCAAACCTCCATCAAGCATTCTTGGTCCAACGGTAGGATAATTGCCTTCCAAGCAATTGGCCCGGGTTCGAGTACGTTCTATTCCTCTTCCACATCATCCAACATCATTCTAACAGCCTCTCCAGCTCCCGGAGGATGCATAACATCCTTCTCCACAATTGCGAGATGATCATTTTTTTTTGCTCAGACATCGTCTTGACGCTGAGACGAGTCAGCATGCGACGCATAGAGATCATGTTTTTGCCTACGCTTAGAGCAGGTGTGCGATGCTGCATGTAATGCAAGGTTTGAGGGAAGGACATGCTTTCGTTGAGGATATAAGGGTGAAGTCGTTCTGAATAAGGTAGTAGTAGTTGTTGTGGATATTGATACCCACGCGTCTCACAATGGCTCTCCTCGGTACACATCAGTGGTGTCATTTTAAGCACATCATGTAGTAGGAAAGACAGCAAAACAACACACACGATGCGCCTAGTGCGAAATTCAGTTCATTGTTTAACACGTAGAACACTAAGAGTAGTTCAAAGATCAACGAAGCATCACCATCGACATTAGATGGTAAAAAGCGATGAGTTCGATAGCCCCCGTGTCGACCCCAGCGACGGTCCAGTCGGTCTAGCACTATCTCAACCCGAGGTGTTGGTCACAACTTGGACATTGGATAGTGGACATTTGATAGTGGATAGTGAGTTGGTACCAAGGAGACTGTGCCAAAGACCAACCAGACCATCACCAAAACCGGCACGGGGAATAATGTAAACTTGTTACATTGCGATGAGCTACATACAAACTCCTAATACCACTGTCCGACCAAGAGAGTGAATGCTGCCACCATTACAAGCACAAAACTGAACCAAAACACTACAATAACCCATCGCAAACTCCATTGCTATGCCACGCTCGCTGATTCAATAAAGGAGGGAAGTTGTCGTTCAAAGTCGTTCGTTCAGGCTGCTTCGATCTACTCAATGCTGATCTTACGGGGCTGAGGAGCCTGAGCCTTGGGAACAAGGATGCTCAAAATACCGTTCTTGAGACTAGCCTTGACGGCTTCCTGGTCGACGCGAGCGGGGAAGGCGAAGGAGCGGTGGAATTCTCCGACTGAGCGCTCGCTGACCCAGTACTTGGCCTTGTTCTCGTCGTGCTTGGAGACGTCCTTGTTTTCGGACTGCTTGGCGACCTTGTTGGACTCGCTGGGGTCGTCCTCAACCTTGGGCTGAAGCTTCTTCTGCTGGGAAGCTTCACCGTTCTCGATGAAGCCCTGAGGGCGTTGACCTTCCTCGCGGACGTGCTCGTGGCGGCCCGAGATGGTCAGGGTGTTGTTGTCGGTCCATTCGATGTTGATGTCCTTTTGCTCGACACCGGGGAGTTCTCCGTGGAGTTCGTAGCCCTCCTTGGTTTCCTTCACGTCGAACTTGGGAGTGAAGGACCGGACGTTGGTGAATTCGCGGTCGAGGTTGCGGAAGGCTTGCCTATCGTACTCGTCGAAGAGACGGAAGATAGGAGCGAATTCCTGAGTGAATCGTGGGAAGAGAGACATTGTTGCTGGTGCGTTGGAAAAGCGTCGAGTGGTTGTGATCGTAGGCTTGGTGATGCGGTTGAGTTGTCGAGGAACTCGTTGGATTGTAGAGCGGATTGATTGCATAGAAGACTCGTTGTTTGTTGTTCTGATGATGAGCTTTGAGAGACGCCTCGAAGGCTATATATACCCGAGAGATGAGTTTCTGGAATGATCGCACTGCGGAGAGGCATTGGTGTTGCGTCGACGACGATGCTGCGAGAAGCCTCGGAGATAGCTCGGGGAGTTTCTAGAGCTTTCGAACACGACGTTTGTCGTCATGTTGTCGTACGCGATCAGACGAAATCGTGAGATGAGAAGCTTCCAGCTCTTGCCGGGGGAAACTATCATGGCGATCTCCCGGTCGATCCTGCTTCGGTGAGGGGCGAGTTGGCACTAGAAAGTTCGGGGTGGTGGCTCAGACCATATCACGTGATGCCCGCGCTCGAAGTATCCAACGCCTTGGGAGCGACATGTGAGGCATCTGCTGCACAAGGCCCGTGTACCCCGCAATTCGGTCATGTATTGCGTGATGTTCATCTAACAGGTTGTATCACGGTGACGTTGGGTGCTCGCCTACTGGTGCGCCGCTTCGTTCTTCGTTCCTTGATCCTGTATTCCCCCGCTACCTGTGGATGTCTCGGATACCCGGCTCAGACCATGTCTCCAGCTGATTTCTTCCTCTTCGAAGCAGATATTCGATGGTACCGAAGTCCTTCTTGCCGACATCCCGGTGCTTATGGAACTCGGATCTGGAGCTACTCGTCAGCTGTCGCAGCAGGTCGTTCATTTGACTTGATCGCACCTTGCAAAGTCCCGGAAATGCGACTGCGTCTCCTATAATTGCGTGAGTAGGTGTTTGTAACCGTAGTGTTGTAATTGACATACCGTTGGTTTCTGCTTCACAGCTCTTAGGCATTGTCGGTAGAGAGACAAGACGTCTTTTTGAAGTCCCGACAATCGTACCATCTCGGCCAGGTAAAGATGTCGTAAGCAACTGAAAAGACACAAGATGTATAGTCACGCACGTTGGCGACGTTGGGATGCAAGAACGAATGGCGGCGAACGAAGCCAGAGCCGAAGGGCCGCGCTCCTAAGACCGAAGAGGTTAGCTTGATTGATGACGATTTCGATGATGTTGGATCGCTTCCGCGCATCGTAGCATGCTCAAATGAGGACGACAATACATTCGAGATGTTTGCATGTCTAACGAAGTTCATGGGGGCACGCAATATCACTGATCAAAAACTTCCACACGCGAAGATCGCAAATACACCATGAACACAACGCAAATTCCCTTGGTAATGTAGTATTGTAAGATCGAAACTGTGTGTGGGTGTGTCGCATGCTTCGTTCACTTTCATCTAGGTGCCGTTCCGCATGGGGATACTCATGGCGCGCTGATGCTTTCAAGTGGACTCAGCTTGACCTTGATGTCATGCGGCCATACGAACCATTGTTTGTGTAGATCCCATTCCTTTTCTGGATCCTCAAGCTCGATCTTTGAGACATTAGCACTCACATCCACACCAAGAAGAAGTCAAAACGTACCTTATATCTTCCAAATACTGTCGCAACCACCTTGTAGACCTCTACCAGTGCCAAAGGCTTACCAAGGCAGATCCTGTTGCCTCCTCCGAACGACATGTCTGCGTCTTTCATCCTCTTGATCCTGGCCTCGTACGCGCCAGACTCTTCGCGTTCACTGTGCAGCCATCGCTCCGGACGGAACTCATGGGGCTTCGCACCGAAAATGCTCTCCTTGTAATGAAGGACCCATGGATTCACACCGACAATTGTTCCTGGTGGCAATGTCGTTCCGTTGGGCAATGCAAGACCAGTTGCAGGGACGACGCGCTCGAGAATATGACCTACGACGGGATGCATACGGAGACCTTCTTTGATGCATGCATCCAGGTAGGGTAGCTGTTCGATGCCAGTATATGATGTAGGGAAGGAGAGACGTGCAGAGAGGAGTTCGTTGACGAGTCGTTCTTTGGATGCTGATGACTTGAGGATGTGGTAGAAGATACCTTTTATCACAATGGCAAGGGTATCGGCACCGCCCAGAATCTACAGGAGCGGTATTAGTTCTACTCACGCCACAGCGCAGCCATGAAACACTCACGTTGATGATCATGTATCCAATAACCTCATTGTCGGTGACAAGGTCCGGGAACTCTTTCTTTGCTTCGAGAAAGCCATTGAGAAAGTCCTTCTTTCCGTTTCCAAGTTCAGGGTTCTGCATACGCTCCATGAAGCGCTCGACGGAGAAGCCGGCAGCAACGGAGAAATCATCGAACTTATAGAGCGAGCGGGGCCACTTAGGGTTCTTTCCGAGCCATTTGTCGAGGGCAGGCATTTGGCCGACCTATCGAATTTCAGTAAGAACTTTTGCAATGGTAACAGTTATAATGAATTTCTTGACTCAACGTAGGACGTACCACTGAGAAATAGCGCATGACACGTTCAGCGGTTCCAAGCATATCGCCAACATCCATACCCTGTTCCATAAAGCCAATACGCTTGCTCCAGGTCATATCACCCAAGAAGTCCCATGCGAAGAACGAGATCCAGTCAGCAATATCGCACGTCTGGTCCTTGTTGGCGCCTTCCACAAAGCGGGCGTCCAGTTGACTGCATAGGGTACGAAGATTGTCGTCCATAATACTCTCGATCTGGAGAGCATTTTGAAGACTGTACAGCTTTTGAACTGGCTTAACATTCTTGGAGTGGAACTCATTGCTGCGCGTACTGAAGATGTTTTGAATGAGATGCCCATCTTGTAGGGCGTCGTTGATAGACCGAAGGAGGGTTAGCATGATCCACTTCTAAGGACGACTGCCTATATCTTACGTAGTAATCGCTCTATTGTAATGTCAGCAGTCGTTTCAACAGCAGCTGTGTTCCATGCGCTGACCTTCAAGTACGTCCCACGAGTGTTGTAAATAGTTTTGATCAGACTAGCATCAGCAACACTAACGGTATTGGGACCGAGACGAACGATATCGCCATGCTGTTCATGAAGTTTCCTCTGGGTCTCGATATGAGTTTGCCCATAATGATTGAGGAAACGCCAGATATCCGAGAATTTGGCTAGAAAGGGACCGGGAATAGATTTGAGCGGGGATTGCAAGTAAGCCAGAACGTATCGAGTGATGAGAAGGACTGTTCCGAGGCCGATTGCCTTCACGAATAACCCTGCCAATGCCATGTTGTCACTTAACTCCGTACATGCAATGTGATTCTGAAAAGGAAAAAAGGACACAACCCCAGGAGTGGGAAGAGGATTGAATATGGTAATGCAGGTGACAAGGCCTTCCCGCTTCAGATTGTTGCCAATCACCTAGTAGCCGCATGTTCAGGTATCGGTCTAGCATATGTACGAAGACGGGGCCAGAATCGAGTCCCCTTCGCTTGGTCGCCCTGGTGTTGGTGAAGCCAAGTCCAACTTGCCCTGAGCGAGGCAAGGCGCCGCTTGCGTACAAGCATGGCGTGTATTGCTTTTTCCCACCACCTTTTTATCGCAATCCTAGGCTTAGCCATTGGTCGTACCAGCCATCGCGAATGTCGGGGAAGCGGTCCCTTGCACTAATGACGGAGTGACAGCGGGAGGTATGGAGTTTTACGGTTCACGGGTACTAACACAGGCTAATCATGTGGGGACTGACCGGGCCCTGCAGAGCAGGTGTGAGGCAGGTGAGGTTCGCTCCATTTGCAGGTCCAACCGCATCAAGCTCCTATGTTGGATGCGACCTCGGGATGCATCTCTTGACAGTCCCCGGAGAACGGCGCAGATGAACACGCTTATCTGCGTTCCACAGTCCTGGAAAACTGCCTCGTAGGATCTGACTCCTTCGCTCCTTCACTCCTTTCCGCACGCCGCTGCTGGTTAGACCGAGGTTGATCCGTCGGATGTGCGATTGAAACGCCACTAAAGATCGCTTAGCCGAGTCTGGTGTGGCCCACAGCTGACCCTCACGATTAGTAGTGCGGGCAACGGCCCGTCACGGAAAGGCCAAACGTTCCTGTACAACTTCAGATCATCGAATTCTGCATGCAAGAACAAATTTTCGCAATGCCATTTCGAAGCCACTTGCGTAGCATGAACGATCCAAGGTTTCGCGAAGGACATGGCCCAGTTGACTAGTGCACAGCACCGCATTCCAGAGACGGGATGTTACGAGATTCAAACCGGATAGGCATCCACATTCGGGGACAGTGGATAACCGGTAGTCGCATACTCCGAGCTTTGGACACTCATTGGTCCTGATACATTTAGCTTCATCGCTGAACGGTGAAGGAACACCATCCTACTCCACCTGAGCGCTCAACCTGGGCCAATCTTCATCACGCGGATAACTGGCCCTCAGCGAATCAGACGAAGCGGACCCATGAACAACAGGTCCTGTTGGACCGCAGGTTGTTGCGCAACCCGCAAGCAAAAGAAAAAGCATTTCATCTCTTCCTTCGTGCTATGCAAGCTGCAAGATACAAGACAATTTGACTCATGAAGCGCCAACGGGGTATCTTGCTCCGGTAGTTGCGAGGGATTTGTGATCAACACCTCTCCTGGGTATGCAGAATGAATTACTCTGGGAAGAAGTGAAGCAGAAGACGGGAACTAGTTTGGCGGCAAAGTAAAAACAGTCTACCAACGTCAAGCTACACAAGGATTCAACGGAGGACTGCTTTTTTTTCGAGGCCTCGCATGCATGAAACCTCACTCATAGCGCCTCTCTGCAGGGTAATGAGAGCGACAAGAACGGCAACAAAGCTTTGATACTATGCCTTGTTTGATTGCCTATGCAGGTCCCGAGAATTAGCGGTTTGTTTTGGCTTGGAAACCCGGCCCCCCTTCAGTTTCCCATAGCCACAACGGGGTTGCAATGATGCGCTCGGGCCGTAGACGTACATGCAAGTATGTTTGCTCTTCAGCATGGGTGTCTTCGAGGTCACAATTGAGGTTATAGATGCGTCAGCCTGACATTCCTTGCCACCACTCGAGTCGTTGATCTGAACATAAAACCTTTTGCGCAGAGCACAGGGCTGCCTTCAGCTCATCCATAATTGTCTCTTCTTTGGACACAAGCCTACACGCTCATCAGCGGCACACTTGAATAGCAAACGACGAGGAGAGAGGCCCCTCCCAGGTTTTCAACCATACCCTGATACCAGCAATCAAGATGGGCAAGCCAGCGGATTTCGCGGACATACTCAATGGGGTGATGTGGTCTCAAGTCGTCCTTGGCACTGTGCTTGTTGCATTGCGAATGTACACACGACAGTATATTGTGAGAAATCTCGGCTGGGACGACGTACTGATGTTGGTCAACCTGGTACGTTTACACCTCTTCACAAACTTCAACTTGGTGGTTAGTCAAACGCTCAAGGAACTAACTTCCGAAGGCTACCTTCATCGGTTATGTTGGCTGCGTGTCTGTTGGCATCACCTATGGTGTTGGCAAACAGACGGCCGACATTGTACGACTCGACCTCAACTACTCCAAATCGATCATGTGGGAAGCCATCGGTCAAGGCATCTGCATCATGGGAATAGCTGCCTCCAAGGGTTCAGTTGCACTGTTTCTCCTGCGCATTGTTCTCAAGAGATGGCACATTGCTATCCTCTGGTTTTGCATAGCGAGTACGACAGTGCTTTGCATCATCACAACAACGCTTCTGTACACTCAGTGTGTACCATCGGCGTTCTTATGGGATCAGACTATCGAAGGCGGCTATTGCTGGCTGAACTTCACCGAGGTCGGTCTAACGATGGGCGCTTGGTCTGCAGCTATGGACTTCGTTCTCGCTCTCCTTCGTACGTTACCCTGCTGCGTACCACTCCAGAGTAGACACTGACCCTTTTTAGCTTGGCACATTATCATGGGACTCAATATGAAACGCAAGGATAAGATCACGATCGCATCTGGTCTTTCTTTGGGCATTTTTGCCGGTGCCTGCTCCGTTGTCCGTACCATTGAACTGCGATCCATGTCCTCAATGGAGAACTATGTGTACGACACCGCGAGTATGCTTCTTTGGTCTTCCACCGAAGTATTCCTCACGATTGTTTGCGCGTGTGTCCCCGTTCTTCGGCCACTTTACGTCCGCATCAAATACGGTTCACGCGGCGACTCCTCAGGCCAGAACTCCTATCCACTCAAGGAGTACTCCAAGTCCAAGAGCAGCCGTGGTATGGATGGAAGTAGGAAGTCGGATAAAATATACATGGGTCCTGGGGAAAGTGTTTTACAGACAACAGTTCGGATGGGGAGTGATACAGCAAGCGAGGAGACGATACTCAGGGAGAGTCATGGGAACAACGCTTGGAACCATGAGCCGAAGGACCCGGGCGATATCACCATCACCACCACTGTCACTTCGAGGGACGATTTCGTATGAACAAAAGCGATTTGTGTAGATATAGTAGTACTTGCTACCATCACATACTTGATAGAAGTTACTTACTTGTAACGTCACGAACAGGCCGAACACTTTTGCAATGCTCAATCATTGTGTTCTCATATTTGTTGTGAGATTGACAGTAGGATTATCGACAACAATACAGCTACTGACAACTTGCTTGGAAGTGTGCGTCGATGTACTACAGCGTGTAGATTTACGTTGAATAGACTTACCGCCCCTCACTTCTTGACGGAGAAGTACATCTTAGCAAACATGCATTTACAGCCCTTGAAGATTTAAGCCCACCGAATCACTGTATGCACGTAAAGACTAAGAAAGTTAGAATGCTCTTAGTATTACTCAACACCACGGGTAAGACCCCGCTCATGAACGGTAAACGTCTTTTTTTCGATTGCGAACGTCGAAGGCGCACGAAATTTGCTTTTGCGCGGAGCGCGCAGAGGGTCCGTGGCAGCTGACAGCCGTAGATCTCCACACCACCATCTAACACCATTCCGACAAAAGCATGACGACCGATCTACTAGCAACTTGCAAGACCCCTGATATCTCTGAGAAGTGTCTGATTCAGGTTTCAATGGGGTTGCGATTATGGCTCACCTGCATCCCGAGGGCGTTTCGCGGCCCCGCAGTTTTGCCCTGCGGAAACTTGCGGGGGTCATGGCGCTGCCGCTGCCGTCGCATCACTCTTATGTGCAGATCCCACTCTCCCCTCTTTGATCTTGCTTTTCAAACGCGTTATTTCCAGACACGCAGGAAGTGCGCTGCGACAAAGTCTGAAAACGATACGTTCCCCGCCAGCTCATTATGTTATCCACTCGGAAGCAGCGACATCCGTGCCTACCTAGTTAGCTCAAGGGGCTTCATGGGCTTCTGGACGATGAACGCAGAAATTTGCTATACGGCGGCGCATATACGGTGCGCTCCTTTTCTTTTGCTCGCGCAAGATGCAGATCGACTTTCAGATCATCCGCAGTTCTACACAGATGGGTAGCACTCTTTCGTTAGGACGTTCTTCCTGGGCCGGATCCAATCTCACTTGAACATTCAACGCAGCATCAGATCTCGTATGCTTTTACATCTCGAAGTAATTGAGCGCCGCTTTCGATAATTTTTGTCAGCGGGACCAGTGACTAGAAGGCGTGGACGAAGAGGTGGATATGATGCATTCCTTGTTTGCTCGCGACTATCAATGCACGATGTAATCTTGGAGTCAAATGAGCAAAAACGTTCAGCCGAAGATCGATAGCGACAAGGAACCAATGATAACAGAAATCCCCATTACCAAGGCTGCTGACAGAAGGCAATCCGATGCCGACGAGACCACAGGTCTTGTCACGAAGACTTTGTCTCTTTTGCTTCATCGCAAAACCTTCATCAGTGGCGTTGCCATCATTGTGAACCTCCATGTGACGGTCATTCATTCGGCGAAACCCTCACAGTGCAGAGCATACGGTTGTGGGCCACTTCAGACGCTCTTTCCGACAGTTCGACCGAGTTGCGACCAAGGTTCTGAAGGACTGAGCCCCACATCCTTCACACTACAACCCTCTTTGTCCGTCAAGTCTCGGGAGCCTTGCGATGGGGTATGGTTGGAGAAGGGTGTGTTGTGCATTTCGATATAGTGGTCTTCGTCATGCTCATCATGTTCGTCCTGTGTTCCGGGCTCAACCGTGGTCGACACAGAGATTCGGCGTCGCTCTATCAATACGTCAGCATGAACTCTGCCCAACGCATGTCAATCAATAGCACTGATTAGACATTGGATCGTCCGAGGATACTATGGAGAGTCTTACTGCTGGCTGACTTCTGTCGTTGCAGCTCCTCGTACTCATGCATGGGAAGGTACGGGACGCATTTTTTCGGAGTGCATGCGCGAGATATGGGCGAGCCACCTGCTGTCCCGCTTTCTGTATCTCTTGATAAATCGATGCTAGTAGCTTTAGTCATCGTCGTGAGGATGGGCCCGTCAGACAGGGCGTTGTGATCGGTGAGCTCGAGGCTATGAGGCCAAGGTTCGTCCTCAGGCATATCAAGATGGGCACCGATGGCGTCGAAGTCGGTTACATCGATGATTCTCTTTGTGGCTGGAGGCTGAGACCTGGCTTGAACATCGCGACGGTATTGGTCCTCGCGGGCTTGGATGCGATCTGGATAGATGTCCGAGTCCCCGCTCCTGGAAGACATACTGGCTACATGTGGTGAGATTATGCAGGCCGAGAAGTGCTTGAGTGGAAGAACTGAAGGTGAGACGAAGGACCGGTGGCAAGTTTCCGGCAAAGCGAAAGGATCATCGGTCGGGATAAACAAGAGCGGAGAATAATGATATTGCCTGTTGAAGCCAGGTATAATTCAGTATGTTTATCGAACCGTCAAAAAGACTGGCTAACGACGAGTATATATATAATCACATCTTGTGGTAGGCTGCGCGATGTGCCGTGGTCTTCCCCATCATCATCCACAGTCAGTTTCGCTCCGAGTCTTGCCTGTCAAAATGCACCAATGCAAATCAACTTCCCACGGAATCACCAACAACAGATGCATAAAGTCGGGGATGCCGTAAAATTATCAACTAGAGCCGAGGCTTGAGAGTAGAGTTATCTTCCGTACCGTCTTCAAATGCTCAAGCTTACCGCATGTGATGAGCGGCTGTCTGACAACAACACGCTAGTACCTGTATGTTCCCGATTGTAAGGCTTCAACGGCGGCGCCGAATCAAGACGACAACGCCCTCGAAGCTTTGGTAACATGTGTCATACCCGCTTCAGACGTCACTATGGTGGCTTCGGCTGTCTCCAATCTACCGGGCCAGCGGTCGGTCCGCGCCAAGACTCGTGTGGATGGCAGTAATCATCCATGGGGTTATCTGCTTGTACAGAAGCCGCGGCCGGCAATTTATGGGCACGTAAGATGACATCAAGAAAGCTTTGAATTCTTGGTTATTTAGCGTAATGAGCGCACCATGGTCAGTCCTTCCTAATAGCGCGTGGTCGGCAGTGAGGTGATGCTTGAGGCATTCACCTCTCGAAACTACCCACTAGTGGATTTGAGCATGAGTCTGCAAGCCTCGCATAAGTCTACTGCCCTGTTTTGTTGAAGTGCACATGCAAATGGCACGATGGTGGTGCAGTTCATCCGTCCCGCCGTTCCAAGCCCATCGCAGCGGGTGGTGGCTGCATATGCAAAGATACATGGGTAACACCGAGAGCGATCGGATATTTTTAAATCAGCTCTGCGCATGAGTGAAGACATCCGTAGATCGAAAGCAGCGAAGCAAAGATCGCAGATGACATGAGAATATTCGCGTGTTCCTCGTTTGTTACCGCAGGCCCATACTGGCGGAGAGATTAGGAGTACATAGCGGTGTAGTCAACATAATCTAAGGAGATTTGGTATGATTAAGCGGCTGCTACAGATACTTGAAACTACTGCGCTATGGTTGTGATCGCAGAGAACCATCGCTGCCAGCGCAAAAACACCCAAACGTTCCCCTACAGTAAACGACGAGTCGCGGGCGTCACCGCAAGTCAGACTAAACAGCGGTAAGCTTCAGGAGCTGTGACGTTCTTCTTCACCGGAAGTAAGCCTTGTGCGCCAGAAAGAGGGGTCAGTGATGCCGGACAGCGCGGTAAAATCCTATTTCGTATGGTTCAGGGAATGGCATCCCTACTCTTCATTGATATTGCGGTGTGTTTTGAAGTTGTGAGATCGATCGTTTTCTCGGACGTGTTGCAAAATACGGACAATGGTATTCCAGGAAAATCGACATGCCGTGTGACGCGGACGCATGCGGCGTCAACGAACCTCGTGCCAGGATTCGCGCACCTATCGCGGATGTTGATCCACACCCCACCCCGTACACCCCAGATAAATCTAATCTTACCCTGACTGCCGGATCGGATGCTGTATTTTTGCTAGACGATAAGACAACGCGCTTCTTGGGTCTCGGCCATCGCAGAGTTGTAGACCTCGATGACGCATTCCATCTCTTCACACCAGGAACTGAACGCACTGCGACCCTCTTATAACGAAAACCTCCCGAGATCTGTATGTGATGTAGTATTGAGGCCTCGCTTACACCGAGCGCTACTCACAGGGGGTCTAGCCTGGCGAGATGACTATCTGCAGCCACCACGAGGCGGGGTCGGCCTGTCCGACGCTGCCAGCCTTACCCGCACGTCATCACACAGCATCTATACAGAATTTGTCTGGGATACCAGAAGAGTACGATGCAAGATGCAAGTATGTCAAGCGTTAGGAAGCAGATCATATCGGCGACGGCGATTCCGAAGCTTCAAACCATCGCGCATAATTATACGTAGGTAGCTTCCTCCAATCGGTGTGCCGCACGGTGCGCGAGAACAGAGATCACAATGGAGCCATGGAAGGTAAGCGATAAGCAGGGCAACTTGGGCCAGGGATCGGAATTTGATCTAGATAGCTGGCGTCTGGAGTATTTCGAGTCGAGATGGTTTCCCATCGCAATGCCCACGGGTTGTTTCCAAGCGGCGTGACGTCATCGTCGCTTCCGCGAGCATCTCAACGACTACCTCACACCTTCCCGCGCAAGTGCACGCCACAGCGCGTCTTACATCCTACGAACTATCCGTCTCTACTCTTGCCGTGACCTTCTCTTTCTTCAATCCAGTGACAGTTTCCACATGATCCCTCCCCAGCACTGCGGCCTTGATGAAAAGACCTGCGACAAAACTCAAGAAAGCGAGTACCGTATACGTGATCCACATATTGCGCATCGCGGAGGCAAAGGCCTGTTTCGCAGCAAGTTCCCATGCCGCATTCTCGAACGTGGCAGGAAGCATGACATTCGCCATGGCGCTGTCGCCATCAAGTTGACTCAGTAGATTCTGCGGTAGCCCAGCGTCTCGAAGAAAAGAAGCCTGACCGTTCATCGAGTTTTGGAAGATGGTACCGCCGATGATGGTGGATATTGCGACGCCGATATTACGAACGAAAGATAGTGTCGCAGTAGCGGTAGCAACATCTTGCTGTTCGACCTGGCTCTGAATAGCAATCATTGGTGCCTCGAACAGTATCCCGGATCCTAGACCGCCGAGGATGACGAAACCTACCGCCTTTCCAGTCGATGTGTATGCGTCGAAGGAGATGAAGAGGCCGAAACCAATGGTGAGGAGCAGTGTGCCCACCCAAATGATCTCACGGAAGTGGCCAGTCTTGTGCATGATGAGGCCGCAGAGGACTCCGGCAATCGCACCTGTGACGATGAAAGGGAGAAGGAGCAGTCCAGACCGTAACGGAGAAGCTTCGAGGACGGCTTGAAAATACAGCGGCATATAGTACTCGCCTGCAATGAAGACGAAGCCGTGGAAGAACACGACGAGGAAAGCGGCGACATTTGTTCCCCGACGGAACACCGTCATGGGAATCAACGGGTACTTGGCCACTTTTGCCTCGCTGTAAATGAACGCAAAGATCATCACTCCGCCTACTACGAGTAGAGCGATGACTTTCGCGGAGTCCCAGGGGAAGAGCACGCCGCCGAAATCGAGACCCAAAAGGATCATGAGCGTGAAGCCAAGGAAGGTGAACATGCCGAACCAGTCCACGGCCCTGATACCATCGATGAAAGAGGTATGTTCGTGCTTAATGTCCAAGAATAGGACTATGAGTACGGCAGCAAACCCACTGATAGGCAAGTTGATGTAAACTGGGTGTTGAAAGGATCAAAGTTAGCGCATGTTCGTAGAGAAAGACGTGGGAAAGACGCGAGAGAGATGTCACTTACAGCACCATCTCCAAGTGACCAGACTAGCAAAGATACCGCCCAAGACCGGTCCGATACCACCAGCCAGCGCCCAGATGCCTTCGGTGAAGCCCTGCACACAAGAATTAGCCAGACCACTCCCACGATACCACCTGCCAAGCAACTCACCATCAACAAACTCCGCTGCCTCAAGCTAAACAAATCACTAATGCAAACATGCACCAACAGAATCAACCCGCCACCCGCCGTACCCTGGAACGCACGCCCGATGATCAATTCCTGCATCGTCTTCGCCGTCGCACAAACCGCCGAGCTGGCAAAGAAAATGGCAAGTGCAGCCAACATGATGGGCTTGCGGCCCCAGATGTCAGACAACTTGGCCCAGATGGGGCCTGAAGCGGCGTTGGCAAGCAGGTAGGCGCCGCCGATCCAGGTGTAGCCCGTGGCGCTGTTGAGGTCGCGGGATATAGTGGGAAGAGCTGTAGAGACGATTGTTGCGTCGAGGGCTGAGACGAAGAGGGAGAGCTGGGTGGTGGTTAGTGTGTTGCATGTGAGGGTTTTGTAGGGAGATTGGGCATTTCGTTCATCGAAGATGCCATGGAGAAGGTAAGTAGGTCCAAACTTACAAAAAGCGCAGTGATGATAGCCACCATTCTCAACCTACTCCTCTTTCCACTTTGGGCTTCTTCTTCGACGTCCATTCCTTCCGCTGCTTCCAATTGCCCTTTCTGTACCATGTCTACCTCGTCTTTCCCCGTCTCGGTTGACTCAGGTAGCCTCCGTATATCCATTTCCATCTCTTGCTGCATGGTGAATATAAGTCGGACCCCAAAAACGCGTGGTTGCGCTCAAAGTTAGGAACCACTATGTCGGGCTAATAATCAAATACGAACATAACGATTCCAAGGAAGTAAGCGCCGAATGTACAATTGGAAGATTCCACTCCAATAGCCAGAGCATTCAACAGCTAACTGGACCTGGCTTGAGGGAAGGTTACTCAACGAGCAAAGAGATCTAAATGTCTATTAGCCATAAGCGCAAAGAAGAAGCCCATTTTTTTCACCGCGTCACCGCCAACGCCTCCCGCCAATCGGAGTGTATAGGTGGGGCGAACTAATCACCTCACTTTCCTATACGGGCTAGACCAGACGCGCCCTACCATGCATGCTCCATGCCGACATGCATACCTGATTTAGCCGCTTGCGCGTGGAATCCGGGGGAAACGAGAGGCCCAGGTGAGATGTTGAGTGTTTTTGAGATGGAGGTAGACTAGTATTGCTTATTCTGTGTGTTATGGAGTCATACTGCGTGAGTATATGCAGATGCATGACTGGGACATATTGGAGTGTCGCCTGGGATACGGCGGTGTGCAAAAGGGCCAAGAGATGGGGTATGCGTAAGTGGTATGCGGATGTGTTGCTTTTTGACAAGGGCCAAGAGGCAAGTACGTGATTCTAGTTGCTCTACGAGAATAACGATATTATCTATCAGACTGAAAGCCTCCATACGTCTCGCCCTCATCCGCCTAGTAGGGAATTCCATTAGTAATAAGTTGGAACCGATCATACGTTCCGGTCGAGTAACTCCCCCTACTCTTCTCAATCAAGCCCCTCATGTAATCAGCCGCCTCCCTCTCGCTCTTATCCAACACAAAGCGATCGCGGAAGTTCTTCATACTCTCGGGTTTGAAGCACGGTAGTCCACTATCCAACATGACCTGTACGACGTGGCAAAGATGCTCGCAATGCTGTCTGCTAGCGAGGAAAGCCTTGACAGTGAGTTCCTCGAACCAGCGGTACGCCTGCGATTGGTACGGGTTTGCTGCATTTTTACCAGACATGACGGCAATCATCTCGGCTGTGAGTTTGAAGGGTGCGCGTTCGAATTTGATGCCGCCGGGTGCGATGTCGAAGCAGAAACCAAAGTCGATGTGGATGATGTGGCCGGCGTCGTCGATCATGATGTTGCCGTTGTGTCGGTCCTTGAATTGCAGAAGGAAACTGATCACGGAGTAGGCGGCCATGGATTTCACAAAGTTGGAGCGCGCTTCTTGGTAGCGGATCGAGTCTTCGTTGCCGTAGCGTGACACGAAGTAGTCGTCAAGTCTGTTGACGGCTTCACGACCGAGCATGTCTCGTGATATGGAGTTGGGGAGTACATCAATGACTCCGCAACCCGGTGCGGTTGCTGTGACACGGTAGGGGAAGACCCAGACGTCGAGACCGACGGTATTAAAAATTCCGCGGAAAGCAGCAATCATCTGTAGTGCAAGCACATCTTGACGGCAGTCGTCTCCGACTTTGAAGATCGCAGAGAGCCACGTTTCGTAGCTGTTGTCCCGCTGACGCGCAATATCGCGGTTGTCGTCTTCCTGATCTTCCAGATCCTGATCATCGGGCCTCGTCTTTCTGATGCGGAATGTAGCCATGAAAGGTGTCTTTGCATGACTTTGTAGGGGCTTGCCGGACTTGCGATCAATACCAATGACTTGACCATCTGGATTGGAGGGTAGGTAAACCCCGACTTCTACTTGAATCTTGCGAAGTTCTTCTTCGATCTTCTGTTTCTTGACCTCTTTGGGTTCATGCAGGACGGAGCGCAGGGTACCCGAGATGCCTGTAACCTCGTTGAAGAAAGCGAACTCGCGCTCGTAGAAGGCATGGTCTTCCTTAGAGAAACTAGACTCCAAGCTACCCATGACCTTGTCAAGCGTGGGCTTGACGGGATCAGGTACCTCGGATGCTTCATCCTTGTACGCGTTTGCCTTCATGTTCCAGATGATCTGGTGAGCAAATAGCTGCGAGAACTTGGCCGTCTCGATGATGTACCGCTCGACGTAGCCCAGGACGTCGTATCGAAGAGTTTGTACAATCTGATATACGTAGAAGAACATGACGTCAACCGAGTGGCTCTCCAATGCTCTCATCGCATACTGGATAATGAAAGGATGGTTGCCATAAGCCGGAAGGAAGTACGTGACGGCCGTGATAGGGTTCACAGGCTTCCAGTAGAGCATATACTTAAGCTGGAATGACACGTCGCTCGGTAAGAGATTGCCTAGAAGAATCTCTAGAGCATCAGGCTCATCTAAAACCTTGTGCGGGAAGTTCAGTACCTGCCATCGAACCTCGTTGTTGAGGCGCTGCGACTGGAAGCGCTTGAGGAGGTGTACAGCAATGGCAGGGTTCTCCGTCCACGCGGTCTTTAGATGAGCAGACACGGCAGTCTAGTTACGTTAGCTCCTATCGATTCGTGTATACAGATGACTTACATCAGGAAGTGTATTGTTGTGGCGCCCAGAAGTAAAGTGGTGCTTCTTGCCGTAATCGAGTGGGAACAACCACACCATGAGACGGGTCTGCTCATTTGAGAGCAGCAAGGAGAGGAGATCTTGCTTTGCCTTCAGTTTCGTGCCAATCTCAGTAACAGTTGTGACCTTTCCGATAAGGTCAAGCTGCGCCTGCACGTCTGCAAGGACATGTGTTTCAGCCTTGATCTGTAGGCGGTTGCCTCCAAAGGACCATTGCGGGGCTTTCGCAAACCACGCCAGAGCAGCAGTCAGTATGCGATCCGTCAGGCGCCATTTAATGGTCGCCGACAATGTGGTACAGTGACGTGCAATGCGCAATCCAAGCAGAACGATATGGAAGTACGACTCGCGAGCAAGGGGCTGCGAGCAACCACCACTCATGGCATCGAGCGTGATGTGCATTAGCCGAACGTAAACACGCTCAACGTCCGCTCTGCTCAACCTCGAGGCACTGAAGTGGCTAGATAAGAACTGCAGTAGGCGGAAGTGCGGAGCGATCAGATTGTAGATCTGCTGCTGGCGTTTTGAGAGTGCTTCTTTGTCTGTTGCAGCGAATTCTTGCTTTCCGTAGAAGGGATCTTCGTGTCTCAGTGCAGGGCTGAAGATACCACGACGCTTGCGCACCGTATTCTCCCAATTTTCTGCAATGGCGACGAGGATGCGGGATTCCATACGAGGGTTCTCTTTGGCAACGCTCGTCCACAGTGATATACCCAGCTTAATGGACTGCTTCGAGAACACGGCGAAGGGAATTCCGACTAGATGCTGAACGATAGGCGACTGGTCCGTCTTCACCCTGCATAGAAGCGCAGCCGCTCTCCGCAATATATCGCGAAGCTCAGCAATTGTCACATGCTTGTGATTAAGGGTGCGGTTCTCCAAGTCCACTAGAAGATTCGTCGCTTCGTGTAAGCTTCGTGAGAGGTATGTCGACTTCCGTCCAGAAGCCGGTGCACCCTGGAGCCATTCCTCTTCTTGATCAGCAACGCCCTCGAGAAACTTGTATTCCTGTCTCGTGGTATATTGAGTGATGAAGTCCGACGCAGTGTTGATGTTGATGCCCTGGCGTTCAATAGCACCAAGGCGCTGATCAGTTGACGGAATGACGGACCCCATCTCTAACGCAAAAGATCGTCCGAGCGATATATGACCAAACGTCATTTCATCATCGAATTCGGACAGATACGACTGAAGAAGCCCTTTGACATCGAGTGGAGCAATGTCGAGCGCTCCCTTCACCCAAGCGATTGCACGCTTGTGTAACGCCTCGAGAGTCGCTCGTCGGAAAGCGTAGTCATCAGACAGCTCAACCACTATATTGGACCGCTTTGATGTAAAGGTCGACTTCCAGGTATAATCATCAGTCTCGCCTTCAAGGCAACTGTACCACATCATCGAAAGGAGCTCTAAGAGGGCAAATAGCGCACTCTTTTGACATAGCGTAGATGGCACTTCGCGGATAATGATATCTGCACAGGTAGCTGCCGCTTGTTGAACGCGGGCAATACGGTGACAGCACGCGGAGAATATCGTTGCTAGCTGGCGCGCAAGGTACGGGGTCGAGAATGTGTGGGATTGACCCGACAGCGTCTTTGCCAGATAGGTTCGAACGGCCGTTGTTGCAATGGCAGCCATGCAATTACCCACTGCGCCAATTCGCAGCTTTGGATCAAGAAAGTACGCAAGCGCCTTGGTGCAATCACCGGCACTTGCGCGTAAATCTTCGACCAGATATGCAGTGCTCAGGAACACTGCTTCCTGATAACTCAAGGACTTGGTGTCGGGCTCACATGACGGAAGCAGTTTCCCAAGCCTCTTCTTCTGCTCGACTGTATGTTCAGGCGACTTACCGCGACGCAACACCGTGTTGAGTTCGATGTCACTTTCCGAAAGGAAGGGCCGCTCCTCTGCGATGAGGGGCTTGCTGAACCGTGCAAGAGTGCGCAACTCTTCCCTGTGTTGTTTGCCAAGATCGGACAGCAGATCGAAGCCATGAACAACGATATTGAACCAAGCATCACGCTGGAGCCCAATGATGGAATCATCCAGCTCGGAGAACTCCGCTCGTTCCGCATTTCGTTCAAGCAAAAGCGCGAGAGGCTTTAGTATCTGCGCAATCTCTTGAGCCGCGAGCTCAGTATCTCTCAGATGGCGATGCGAAGTCTCCTGGGCGTCTCCCTTGCTGACGATGGTGTCTAGCAGATGTGTAAGATAAATTTCGAAGGTAGGCTCATCGGCAGAAATCTCCCTAGAGAGGTTGAGACGCGCAGCCATGACAGCTTCGAGTGTAGCCACATCGTCTGAAACCAGTGCATCATGCGAGAGTTTAGTGTAGACCTTGAGCAGACTTCTAAATTCTCCAGGCGGACTGTGCACACCCAGGAAAGCTGAATCGGTGATGATCTTCGCATCTACAACTTTTCCAGAACGGCCGACCTTCTGGACAAGCATCGAAAGTGCCAGCGCCGTGATCTTTGGATCTTTGCAGTTTCTTGCGACGGACACGATGGTCTCCACGACAGTAGTATGTACATGGTGCGGCTCATCCACATCACTTGGTGTGAGTGAGATGGTGCTACCGTTCTGGTTCTGATAGACACCACCTGTACGTGCAGGCTTGCCGTTGCCGTTCAAGGTGGGAGATGAAGAAGGGTTGCGGTCAGGTTTAGGAGCGACGCTGATGACATTGCCCAAGCTGTACAGTGTCGTAATGATGGCATCCTGGGGAAGAAGAGTTAGAACAGCGGCGAGCGACTCAGCTGCGACGGAAGTTGTTCGATGGTCGAAGTTGGCTTGAACAATGACTCGAGGGAGCGAACGACCGAGGCTAGACGCCAGCTGCGGCGAGACTTTGGCGAGGATGGCCATGGACTTGAGGACTGTGGAAGCCAATTCATGGTCCGCGCTCTGTACCGGATCGTTGAGCACATTGTCGAGCCAGGTAGTCAAAACTTCTGCGTCTGTGACATCCGTGTCGTCGTCGTAAATGGTACAGCAAAGATACGTGACAAGTACCTTTGCCTTGACGGAAGAGGCCTGTTGCTGCTGCCAGGCAGATCCAACCCGTTGTAGATAATCCATATCATTCTCCAGACGTTCCATCTCTTCCCCTGCAATCTTAGCCAGCCCCTCAGCCAGCGAGTTCTCAGCCGAGTCCCTAAGAATCTGGTGGTTCTTCCTGTGGAGCGTGGTCTGTAGGTGATCAAGAATAGACGTTTGCGAAGTGAGGTGCGCACTGGTCCCAACCAGCAGCGAAGCAGACGCCAGCACAACCTTCAGAAAAGAGTCGTGCAGAATCATCGCGCCAAGTGGTCGTCCAGTAGCAGCATAATGCTTCGTGTACCGCCTCCACTCCCTCAATCCGTGTTGGTGGGAGCGCGCATTACGCACAATCGACAGCACGGTTTCGAATGCGATGAGGAAGTTCTCTGTCAAAGCTGCTCGGACGTCTTGAATAAGTTGGAGTCTCTCGTATGCATTCCAGAAGTGGGTGTGCTCAGCAGCAGCACTCAGGAAGCCTAGCATCGAGAGATTGTGTGTCATGACGCGCGCCAGCTCGCCATCGGCAGCGTAGTCGTCGGCCCCATCGTCGACGAATTGTTCCCCCGAGAGCTCCGCTGCTGCTGCGACCCAACCGGAGAGGTAAGCACCGAGTGCCGTGGCAGCTTGCGTCCGTAGCTGATCATGCCGGAGGCCGAGCGAGAGGACGGCACACGTGAGGTTGTAGGTAAGAACTTCGTACGGCGCGGGCTCGAAGGCGCGTAGGCTGGGCGAGGGCGCAAGCGTCTGCGCGTGAGATGCGATAAGGTATGGGGAGAGGCGTGTCAGCAGCTTCTCAGCGACGTCGATCGACTCGATGTAGGGTGCGGATTTGCATAGGGCGAGAACAGCCTCCAGTTCTTGCAGTTTCATGGAGCTTGCCGCCGGGCATCTTTTGAACAACCTCGCAAAGTCGGAATGGGTGGCATCTACCGACGGCGACTGCGCGGACAGACGGGCAAGCTTCTCGAGCGCATTGCTTCGGATGGTGCGTCTATAGCAATACGATGTCAGCTGCCTGTATACCTTATTGGGCTTCAGCACTTACGCCATCTTCAAGACGCTTCCTGATGTCTCCGCCGCGCTTTGGTGTAGCGCGGTATAGGGACGCGTGGTTATGAGTTGTCCCTGGCCGAGTGACGAAACTACCGCGGACCTCCGAGCTACCTCCTTGGTGCTGATTGGTTGTAGCTTCCACCACCAATACTTCCTCATTAACCCAAAGCTATCAAGTCGAACAGCTCACACATGAAGACTACGTATACATTGGGGCAGAAAAATGATTCAATTCGATCCGGGGATATGGGTAAAAAGACTCTTCTACACTCCGGTCACATGCCCCAAGAAACCTCCATCAATAAACGCCTTGCCAGATCGCATAACAGACGTGAAACCCCAAAGGGCCTTCCATATGCACAAGCACCAAAGTCAACGCCGACACTGAAATGCACCTCAATCGTCTGCTGGTTCAACACGAACCAGCACCTCTTCAAGGAAACCCTCCAAGAAGCCTGCGACCTCTCCACCCATGCCCACCTCTCCTTTCTCGTCCCAGTGATCCAACTCTTCAAATTTCCCCTTTATGTCATTAACTAGGCGAGTGACCTTCTCATGGCATTCTTGCCTTTGCCGTCTGCGCTCAATGAAGCCCTGCGCATCATCCAGCGACCGAGCCGATTCTTGCTTGTTCCTGACGCTAAGATGATAGGCACGACGAGACAGTGCAGCCTCAAGGGCTGGTATCACCACACCGCTGAGTGCTGTGATCTCGACGGGCGCCGCTGGAGAACCTTGCGTTTGAGCGAGGCTAGGATGATTTGACGTCGGCTTGGGTCTACCGAAGGAGCCGCGCGACATGGGCGAAGGCTTGGTGACGTGTGGTGGAGGGGGAGGGGGTGATTGGGCAACTTGTTGCTGTCTTGGCTGTGACTGCCAATTTGACGACATTGGACTGCCAAATGGGTCGTTCGACGATGACGATGAGTCAGGTCGGGATGCAGAACTTGGGCTGAAAGATGTGAACGATTGTTGTGTTGGCGGAAGTGGCTTCTGCCCTGCCAGAGACGGTAGTCCTTGCTGACCAACGAGCGGTGGTAGAGGCTTCTGAACTTGCACCGGGGTCGGTGCTTGTTGTTGTACCCGAATAGGACTTTGCAACGGCTTCGGTGCTTGGCTTTGCGAACTGCTTTGACCAGGACTTGCAGACTGTCCACGAAATGGCGGTATTTCGGGTATAGTCATCTGCGGTAGAACCGAAGCGCGGCTTGGAGTTGGAACACGCTGTTGTGGTGTGAGTTCCACACTCCTCATTTCTGCAGCAATCTCCCGTTGTACGAAGTCGTCATAAGTGTGCTGTAGTGGTGTTTGTCGCCTGGGTTGTTGCGGGGCCTGTGGCTTTGTTGGTGTGACTAGCCCTCTGTTGGGTGGAGGCTGGAAAAGGCCAGGCACAGGGGACTTTCGTGGAAGCTCTAGGGCTGGTTGGGGGAATGAAGGAGCTGATCTTTTCTCTGGTGATGCTGGCAGCGGTATCCGAGCAGCGGTCCTCACAGAGCCAGGTGAGCCTTGTGTTTGCAATGGCGCTAAGCGTTTAGTCGGCGATGGTGGTTGTCGGAGGGTGTCGTCGTTCTCATCGCCGTAGCCACCGCTGTTCTGTGTAACAGGCTTGCGTTGTGGCGAAGGGTTCCTCGCATTGGCACCCGCATCGTTCATTGGGGCGAGCGCCGGTCCCCGGCCACCTCCTGTTGGCCGCACAGTTCCAAAATCCCAAAGGTCTTCATTGACAGGCTCCTTCCTCTTCACGGGAGTGGCTTCATCTTCTGACTCGGCTGCTTCTTTCGGATATCTGACCTTCCAGTCCTGATATCTCGAGATGAGCTCTTGCAGACGGGCGGGCTTACCAGCCTTTCGGATGAAGTTTGTCAGCAGAAGCTGCTTTGCGCTCGGACGCTCCTTGGGATCCTTTCTTAGGCAGAGTTCGACAAACTCTTTGAAAGCGGGTGAGAAGTTGCCCTGTAGTGTTGGTGGTGGATTTTTCGGAATGAGGAAGAGGACCTTCATCGGGTGGATGTCGGCATATGGAGGCTCGCCGTTTGCCAGTTCCAGCGCGGTAATACCCAGAGACCAGATATCAGCCTTGCCGTCGTAGCCAGATTGCTTAATCACCTCAGGGGCCATCCAGAAGGGCGTTCCAACAAATGTGTTCTTCTTCGTCATGGTCGCCGATAGTTGTCCAGAGACGCCAAAATCAGCGAGCTTGACTTGGCCATTTGCGCTGACCAAGATGTTTGCCGCTGTTATTACGTTAGTCTTCTCCCGCATACAGCCGAACCAGCGGGCGTACCTTTGATGTCCCTATGCAGCTTGTGGTCGTCGTGGAGATATGTCAAACCCATCAACAGTTCCTTCAGTATGACTGCAATTTCAGCCTCTGCTATCTGGCCTGGCTTCATCAAATCTGCGCAACTTCCGCCTGAGCAGAACTCCATGACAATCCACAGGTCGGAGCCGGCCAGAAAGGAGCCGTAGTACTTTGTGACGTACGGCGAGTTCATGCCGGAGAGGATCATGATCTCACCCATAATGTCGTCAACCTCGTCTTCGGCATTCTCGACGTCGATGACCTTGATAGCGACTGTGTGGCCTGTCCGCCGGTCAAGGCCCTTGTAGACCTTGCCAAAGCTACCGCCGCCGATGCATTCCTGCTTGGTGTAGAGGGTGTTCGGATCGACCGACTCGTTCGCGCCTAGTTCGGCCATGTGCGCAACCTTGCACCGGGGGCGTCAAGGGCTGTGTGTTGAAACGGACTGGACGTAGAGCAAGAATGCGATTAAGACGAGCGGATTGAGGATATGCGCATGCGCGGTGCCCGGGGTAAAGCGAAGGACTCGGTTCGACAGCGACGGGGGCGGTCGGTGAGCGGATCGAGCAGACTGGTGGCCGGATCTGGTGAAGAAAGGCGTCAGTCAGTGTCAAGGCAAGAGACGCAGGCCGTGGCAGTCGACCACCAAACAAGGCGATGTCGTCTGCACCTACCAAAGAGCGGTTGCTTCGTAAACACCCAATTGCGAGGGCAACAGCGAATGGCGGGGGCCGCAGCGGAGCGAGAACAGGTGGGCAGCTGCGCGAATCGGGAGGCAGGTGTAGTCGAGCCAGAAACCCCAGATCCGGCGAGATTGGGTTGTTGTATGGGCCGCCCGAGCGAGAGTTGGCCTGTTTACTGTCCCGCTCGCGCTCTGTTGTCATAGAGGGACATGCATGCCCGGCGCGTCAACGTGCAGGGATGCGTCGCGTTCGACTAATGAGCTCCAAACCAAAAGCAAAACATCCGTATAATGACGACCATCGGCATCGCATCAAATGCACGCAGGCACTCCTCAGCTATGGTATCCTACCATCCTTACCAATGGGTCGCGTCACACAAACTTCTCGAGGGCTTCTAATGTGGTTGCGCGAGGTCGTCTGCTGCTATGCGTCTCATCGCCTGTCGGACAGGCTAAGATGATTGGAGTACCATCAACAGCCTCAAGTTTCGCCATCGTCCACGTTCCAAACCTAGTCTTGCTCACAACGGAAACTCACTTGCACTGCAGGCCCAATCAACATGTTGAAGTAAATACATGTGACGTCATTGTAAATATAATCCTAGTAAATGGTATACGTTCAACTGCTCCGCGGCCACACTACAATGGAAGAAAGCGTGTCCTGTCCATCTCCGCACTCACAAACTGGGTATCCATATATCTCGGCCGTTAGGAAGCCATAAATCGTATCAGCCATGGTTCCCAAGTCGTAAAGAATAACAAACGCCGCAAATAGACCCCAACGCAAATGCAAATATTCCAACAAACCCCCTATTACCTTAGAAACGTCTACGTATCCTCTCCGCAAGCGCTACATCCTCCTCGCTCTCTTCTTCCACGGGTGCTGGTGTTCTCCGTTCGCGTGCACGATGTGCTTTTCTTCTCCGGTTGTTGCTGACGTTGCTGGCCGAGTCATCCGGTCCAACCTCGCTTCTCAGATCATCGATTCCTTCATCAGGGTCGCGCATGTTGGCTGGCGTATCAGACCTGACTTCAATGCCACCCATGCCAGCACCTCTACGCTGCTGCGCCACCATGGACAAACCTGCAGCTCGCTCTCGCAGACGACGGCGCACAGTCTCGGCTTGGTTGTGGAGCTGTTCAAATGCGTCCTCCATAGCCTCCATACCAAGATAAATCTCGCGCTCGATTTCGGCAAGCACGGCAATCTCGGTCTCTTCATCGATCTGCACAGGGGCTCCGCCGGGCGGACGGACAGACCCAGGGCGGGCAGATCCCGGTCGAGAGTACGGACTTGGGCTGAAGCTGCCGTACCGGTTCGGTGGTACTGGTGATGCAAATCGTTGCGGTCCATCGCCGGGTCGGACCTGTCCTGCTCTTGAGCCTGATCGGGGAGGTGTTGTGTTCATATCAGGTAGGTCATCGACGCCTGACCAAAGGAAGCCATCGAAGCGTCCAGAGACGAGAATCTCCCATTCGTGTTTGGTCACAGCTGCCAAGGTAGCAAGCATATTGTGCATGTCTGGATGGCGGATGAGATACATGACCACTAGCTGGTCGCGCGGTGGAGTGTAGAGTCGATATAGACGCTGTAGCGCCAAACCAGCTTTTGCCAAGTACGGCGGCGTCCCACTGTCCGGCTTTTGAGTGCGAGGATTTGGGAGTTTGTCCAACCCCCATAAGAGTGCATAGAAGAGTGGTCGTTGTGGCTGTTCCAATCGGGTGAGCATGATAAAAGTCAACGTTTCATCGTCAGCGTCCTCGGGGACACCGTCTTGTTGGTCTGATAGCCAAGACTGCACGGCAACTTTGGTCTTTTTCGACTGCTTTTCGTAGTGCTCGCGGTATTGCTCAGGTACATCAACATCAATGCGCTGACATGGTGCTTCAAGATCAGACGATATGCCCAGTCCAGGCTCGGCACCTTGCTCATAAGGTGGCCAAGTCGGCAATTCGCAACGTCCAGACACTAGCTCTAAGATTTCTCCCCAGTTGACACCTGCAGAATCTTCCACAACCGACTGCTCGAAGCACATCATGCACTGACAATGCTCCGAGGATATGTTGCGAGCAAAAACGTTCTCGAGACGATCGAGAAGACGCCGCGCAACCGAACGATAACCGGTGGCTACCGCCAAAGATCCGCTTGTGTCCATGACGGTGTTGTAGCTGTTGAGTACATTCTGCAGAGGCTTGAAGAAAGATCGGACATCGTGCGCTTGTGCTCCAGATAGCCTTGGTGTAGTGTACTGAGAATAGGCAGAGGCTGGAACTCCATCAATAGCCGCTAGTAGACTTCGCGGGATAGCTTTGGCCAGACCGCCATTCTGGAGCAGGTAGTCGACGCGAGGAGCTTCCATCATGGCTGGAGGAGGAGGCGGGGGTGGTGGGGTCATTGGGGACTGGGCATAGCTGGGATCTACGGATTGTGTGCGCGACATGGGGTCTGTCATAACTTCGATCATGGGCGGCCCATCCTTGACAGAAGATACAACAGAGGGAAGAACGGAGTGCTGGGTAGGTGTACGTGGTGATGAATCGACCACAGAAGAAGGCGAGACATCGGAACGCGGGGGTGATTGGCTGCGGCGGTAAGAGTTGCGATCTTGTACGACTGAAGTGGCGTCTGAGTCGAGTGTATATTCCGAGGGCGCTCTCGTCTTCATCTTGACAGGTGTTGACGTCCTGCTTGGTGTCGACGTTCTGCTCGGGGTCGATGTCCTGCCTGGGGGCCGAGCGCTGGATGGACTCACGGTCCTCGTTCTCGTCTCCAATTGTGGAGACTTGGCACGGATGGTGCTAGGCTGCGATCCAGTGGTAGAAGTGAGGTCTGTGCCGTCGAACGTATCCTCGTCTCTGACACTTGAGCGCGACGCGATCCGCGGGCCTGCCGTCGAAGTCATGCGCGTGCCGCTGTCTACGCTTTGGCGACCCTCCTCCATCTCTCGCGCGATCATGTCAGGGTCCTTCCTTCGCATGCTGTTGACACTGGCCGTCTTCCTAAGATCTGCGCCTGTGGTCTCAGTGAGCGGGGGACTCGGTGGTGCCCGTGGTGGAGGCGGGGGTGGTGCTCGGTTTGGTGGATGCGGTGCGACTGGCCGCTCGCCGTCCCTGCCTGGCGAGGCCTCGCCATCTGTGGCCTCTGGCGTCGAGGTCGACTTCCTCTTCTCTACACCGTCGCGGGAATAGATGCTCTCTTTGGCGTATGTTTTGGAGTGCGACGGGTAGGGTAAGCTGATCCGCGATGTGTTGTCGGAGCCCAACGAGCCGCGGCGTCCCATCTCGGGCACGACGGCCATCTTGTGCGACTTGGACGTTTGCGACGACGACAAGGTCGAGGTGGACGTCGAGTTGCGCACACGTTCCGTCGACGGGCGCCTGGGCAGCGGCGGGTTCTCAGCGTCGTCTTCCTTGGAGGCCGACGAGCGGGTTTTGCGGGAGCGGGTGCTCTTATGGCGCTCGCGGTCCCTATCCTTGTCCTTGGAGCGGTGGGTGCTGCGCTCGCGGTCCGGGTCCTTCTTGCTGCGGCGGCGGTGCGAGTTGGACGACGTCTCCATGGTGAAGAGGCGGCGTGGAGCTCGTTGGTGTGACTGTGGGCCGGGACGCTGGACGGGCTTCTGCGGGTGCGATCACCAGCGCGGCTATGGGCAGCTTCAATTGGGCGTCGGGTGCGGGCACTTTGCGCGGGTGCGCCTATCAGGACAGCAGCTCGCCATCCATCTACACAAATCAAGGCAGGGTGCGGTGAGGGGTTTACGGTCTTGGGTGCGTTGTAGGGGGAGTTTTGGGTTGTAGTACTCTGACGTGTAGCAGCCAAGTGGGCCGGGCTCGGGACTGGGCGCAGTGTTGACTGCGGGCTATCCTTAGCACCTGTCTAGCCCGAAGGGTCTTCCTTACCCACCTGGGCACCCTCACCCATGGATCACCACTGCTGCAACACCATGGCAACGACTGCGCGTGGGAACTGGTTCATGCACGGCATCGCTTTAGCATGCGATGCAGCAACAACAGCAACCGCCTTGTTATTCGACTTTGTCCATTGTGCTACCCGCACTGCCAGGAAGATGCTGGGCGCGTGGCTTCACACGCTTTGCTGGCGTGGCAGGTCACGTCACATCTCCAAGATCGGCAAGTCATGACCGTCACGGGGAACCTTCTAGCAAAGAAACATTGACATGATGGTAACTAGTCTAATATACAGGTGTGAAGGGTAGTAACCGCAGAACAAGGTAGGGAAATGCCAAACATCGCGAGTAATCTTAGCATGGGGTATCATTGTAACATGCTCGTCGTGATCCTTGACGTATGTTGATCCATGTAGAAGCCCGAAATCTCTCTGTTGCTCAATCTTGGGTTTTGTACTCCGTAGAACGCCTCCGTTATCCAAGCACAAAAAGCAGTGCAAGCCTCACCACAGCGACAACATGCAGCAGCAACGTCACCATTCACGCTATTGAGCCTGTTGGTGGGCTTGCGTGTTGTTGACATGCTGCTGAGCCAACTGGGCCCGGAGCGTGGTGATCTCGTTCTGCAGCGTGGCGATCTTGTCGTTGTGTTCCTTTTCCATTCTCGCCATGCGAGACTCTATATCGCGAACGTACTGCCACACATCGACCTGGCTGCCCATGACTTCGCGCATGCTACCGCCACTTCCACCGTGGCTTGACATGCTGCCCGGCTGCGAGCTGCTACCAGGAGCGGCCATGGTCTGATGT